TTCCATTGCATTTCAGGAACTAAATTCCATTTTCAGTGATGTTCTACTATAGGATGTATTCTTGAAACAAAGTTGATACATTTATAATAGAAATTTAAATATAGCTGATAGTTGTAATAAACCTGCTCGAATAAATGTATGGTTTATATTCAAAGTTCAAAAACAATTTACGGATATTCTGATTTTTGCATAAGTCGTAATAGTTGGAAAGTGATAAATAACATTCATTTTTTACTTCCACGTCATTGTGATCGTCGACTGCGTCGGCAGTTCATTAGGGTTTTGGTCTCGTTTTTACTTAGCACATATTTTCTTCATTAGGGCTTTGGTCTCGTTTTTACTTAGCACATATTTTCTTCATTAGGGCTTTGGTCTCGTTTTTCTTAGCACATATTTTCTTAACCCACTGATAAAGTCTTTTTTATACAGGAAATGGAAAATAAACTTTAAACGATGCCTGATCAAAAATTGTTTAGCAGAAATAGACAAAACTTAACAGAAAGTATACTACTTTTTAAGGGCTTTAACGCTAATACATAGTTAAATATTGCTGCCGTTATAACAAAAAATATGAAACCTCTAATCGACTTCTCAATAATTGCTTACCGAATATGACCATATTTGATTAAAAGCACCCATGCAAAAATGACCATTATTGGGCAAATGATGATGATGAGCCAACAAATATAGATGACGATACAAATACAGAAACCTTGACGCAACTGTTTTCACAGTATAGGAAGAGTCTTACTAAAAGCGTCCTACTGACGCAGATTTCTTTGTAACTTTTCATGGATTGATCTACGAGAAAGATGTCTGTCACTATCTGAGGTCAACATGGGCCTCTTGTTTCATTTGCTTATATTTCTGAAACCTATTCATGGATTTTTTTCATACTTAAATTGAATCCAAAAAGCTAAGACAATCCGTTCTTCGACAACTCCGCTCGCCCATTTGACCTTGGTGTAAATGTCACAGTTACAAAATTTAAATTCAGGTTTTGGTTGGGGCTTTTTTTGTTAAGTTTGCTTAGCCACTTGTTAGGTTTTGTTCATACCTGGGATGAATCATTATAAAAAGTTAACGCAATTCATTCTACAATATGCTAGCTTACCCGTTGTACAGTAGGGATAAGGTCACGTTTTAAATCGATGCTTCGGTTGTGGAATCGACTTGCAGGCTTTGATTTTATTTTATTTGCTTTTTAACTTCTAAATTTCAAGTACTTTTCAACGTCTTCAAACACTGCAATGAAATTGAAAGGAATTCCATAAATTCAAGCATGGCCTGGCACCAAGCGTCAACTAATATAATATGGTCTTGTTGTATAATACATTCAACATAGAGGCACGCCTTTTTTCTTGCTGACCTCACTTAAATAGGGTACTTAAATCCTTTAGCAGTTACCATGGTAACCACCCATTTAGTTTACATCTCCACTGTCTATCCATTCGTACATTCCAACTAGATACAAATCGAATCGTTACAATATTTCGATATGAGCTAATATGCTTAATTATACAACTACTAAAAATCAAAGTGAAAATAAAGTTCATATTGACAATAGGTGTAGTACCTAAGACTTCTTTTTCCAGAGGGATAGCTCCTGAAAAAAGTTATAAACTGGGAAATTCATCCGTACATATTAAAAGCTACAAAGAATAACAAAGCCTATATAATGGTGAAACATCTGTCACTATTTACATGCATTCAGAATACTGGTTGCAGCGAGAGGATGGGTTGCATTTACTCTACACTATATTTGGCCTCATTAATATGTTACATTGCTAAAACTGAGGGATATATTTTATTTTCATCATGTTCAAATATCACCCCCTTTCTCTCATTTAGATATGATTTCTGTTACGTCTATGATGTCCATTTATACTCGAAACATTTTGAGCTTGAAGCACAAGATTAAGTTTAATCTTAATAGAGAGGTATGATAGTTGGATTACTTCTAGATCAGGGAAATTTAACAGTGTAGGAGATAGTCCTGATGTAGAAAAGCGCAAACATTCCAGGATTATAACTAACTTGTATTACAACGGTGCAGATTCTATAACGTTGCAGTAGTCTAGTTTGTATTACAAACCGTGTGAATTGTGGGAACTTTCAACTTGGTCATGTTCAAATGTGTTCGTGAATACTGGACCTTGACTTAAACATCTATCACAGAAATGTCCTAAGGCCGAAATTAAAAGTCCATAATTAATTATAACTTTACTTCCAACCGATGCTGCATAGAATCATATCCTTTAAAACAGAACACATTTTTTTTTTTATTTTAAAAATCCGATGCTATACTAACGGTGCTATACAATGACAGGGCACCTTTATTCCAGTAACAACGGTAAGCAACAATATTAGCATAATCCAGTCTAAATTTACGTTAAGTTTGATAAAAAAAACTCAGTTAAATTTGTTTCATATTACAGACTTGCTATTAATAAAGCTATTTGTATGCCAAGAATGCAACAACAAAAGCAACTTCTACTACTGCTGTTATTTATAAAGACAACTTCTCTACAAAGCAATAACACATGTATACAACTAATTCTGGTTTACACAACCCCTTACAGTATTAAATGTTTTAAAATCTGCTGTAAACGGACAGCTGAAAATAAATTTAAAAAAGCTTATGAGTAGAGATGAGGTCAGAATCCATGAGACTATGTGCTTAAATATACTCGATTCGCGATAACAAAAAAGTCCCCGTTCAAGAGTTGACGAATCGTGTGTGAAGTGCTTTGCAAAATCGGTTACATAAAAAGGCAAATTGTGGGAGGCAAAGGTTATTGTGGACCATAACAGTTAACACCGCATTCACAATGCGAGCTACAAAGTGTTACGAATAAATTTTCTTTTTTCATAAAGATAAAATTTTCATTTTTATCACACATTTATAATTTTAATAAAGAAAAAGTTTTGTTGTTACTTGTTGCAATACCTTTTTACGTGGCACAAATTACTAAAGAATTTCTCATTCTACGCTAATGAGTTAAGTAACAGTACACAGTACATATTTATATGAGGAGAATTGTTTACATTAGCAAATGCCTTCTTACTTTCTTCTATAAGATCGGAAATAATTATTGGGAAGGGTACGAACTCAGGTGGCGTGAGTTTTTGCTTAAAAGGTGGACATATTTTGGAAAAGAAATGGGATATCGAACAAATCCCGTAACTTCTCGTAACTGCAGAGCACAAGGTTGAGACAACTGCTTGAACCTGTGGCCTTCTATGGAGCAAAGTACACATTATATGTCCTCCAAATTGAACGCTAGGGAAATAACGCTACCTGGACTTCATCTGAGAGTTATGCCGTTTCCCATTTAATCTTACAAACATGAATTTGAGGTCAAACAATCAATACACTATCTTACTGAATAACAATTCTGGTATTAGTTTTAATATTGAATTCTTAAGGTTTCTGGCGGTCTATAGCTCATTAGATATTTAATTATTTACCTCCGATTCTAAAAGACAAATTCCATAAGTATATGAAGTTGGCAAGCTTTGGAATAAATATAACAATCTTATGTGTATTTCTATATCTAAAACGTATGACCTCACAAGTGTAATTTTCTACATAGCATGTTGCTTGATTTAATAAAACTCCTATAACTGTACTTTATCTTCGAGTTCTGCCTTTTCCCTACAGTTCGAACATGGTACCCGCTCGCACTCCAACTGTGTAACCACCCTGCATCGCAAGGAGTGACAAATTCGTAATGTAGGCTAGAAAACCTATTCCCTTCTCTGTAGATCCGAGATCTGTCCCACCAATAATGCTCTCAGCCAGCCTGGATTGTTCCACTGACTTCGGAATGATCGAATTTCTGGTGCGATCATGAATGCTTGTTTAAGAGAAGTTAAAATGAGGCACCAATGTGTGGGAAGGTCCGCAAAACGAGACGTCTGAGCGGGATCAAGTCCGCTGTCGTATAATAGCTGAGAAGTTGCAAGAACTCTTCCGATGTAAGACAAGTCTTGATGGAAACAGACTAGACAAGTACGACGATTCTGGAAGAGCGAACATAACTGGACGCTTCAGATTCCGGTTAATTAAGAAGTCCGTGTCCAAATAGACGAAATTTTGGGATGTATGGAGGTCTGAACTTCCAAGCTAGTGAAAAGGCCTGGATTATCAAGCAGAGGAGGGAGATCGTTCCGAATTGGAGTAGGATAGAACTTACATGTATTACTTTAAGATACTGCCTAGGTACGCTGCTGTCGCCCGGAACGAAGAGACGGAGGAGTTCCTAGTTTGAGTGAAAGCCTAGGAGGTTGATGAAGACTGAAGGAAAGAAAGGCGAGTTGATAACGGTGTGGCGGTAAACGTGGAAACTAGCAGTAGACGGGGTGGATAGGGACGTGGAAGTATACATTTGTCAGATGAAGACTAACGGCATACTCTCCCCGACTGACGAGGAGGCAGAATGACATCGCCCTTCCCATGTTAAATATGGTGAGAAGACTCCAGTCGATGATAGGCCTCAACCTATTAATAGCCTACCGATCTGACGGTGTATCGTGTGGAGGGGCAAGGTGATTGCTGATGAACGAAAACCGAAGCCCCTTCGACTGATCTTGATCAGCCCCAAGTCCCCTTATGAGGGAACATAGAGGTCAACTGAGCTCAAATCGATTTCATACAACTGTACTATTGCATGACAGGGGTCGATGTGGATGGACATGCGACTATCGATGATTAATGACCCTTACTGTTGGCCAGGTTATCATCTGACTTGGCTTCAAGCCCAGCATAAGTCAAGCCGGGTGGCCTTGACAACTCCGCTCGGTCGTATCAGTACAAGACACATGCTCTCCCTTGAGAATAAGCTATGAGTATTCAATATCCGGCATCTCCGGTAAATACAGCACTGCCGACATTGTATGCTCTGCCAAATGTTTCATCACTGCCGGCATCGCCGTCCATTCGCGCACTGTCAACATCGCCTCACTGCTGACCTTTCAATCACTACCGGATCCGCTCCGGTGGCCTAGTGGTTAGAGCGTCCACCTCAGATGCGGGAGGTCGTGGGTTTCGATCTCCGGTAGAGTCATACCAAAGACTTACAAAAATGGTACTAACAGCTGCTTCGCTTGACGCTCAGCATTAAGAGGTTAGTGCTAGGACTGGTCGCCTGGTGTCAGGATAATGTGACAGGGTGGGACATCATGCTACATGTCTGCGGCATGATGCCCCAGTGCTAGACATCACTATAAACTGCCACACTGCAGACATCGTAGCGATATGACTGAAAAATTGTTAAAGCTATGTTACAGATCATAATCACATCACATCACATCAATCACTGCCGGAATCTCCAGCCTTTATCGTACTATCAGCATCAACGCACTACCGGCATATCTAGTATTGCCGGGCTTTTCAGCACCGTCGCTGCATATATGTCAGTTCGGCACGCACCTGTGCCGGCCGCTCCAAAGCTGAAGCTGAACGGGCAGATTTCTCATTGAAGTTGCCGGGAAAATAATGATATCTTGCTGACTGCCCAGCTAGATGGATAGATTTATCACTATGATCTCTATAAACATTGTGTAGTTGGCCCATTCTGGCCAAGAGGTCTCCATGCTGCGACGGCTGTACTACTAGTAAATCTGGTAATGTCGTGGCGACTGCCTGTGTCGGCTGGATTGATGACGTCGGTACCCGATTTACCAGTACGATTAACCTCATCTTGTGAGTGTGAGTATGTGTGTGTGTGTGTGTGTGAGAGAGAGAGAGAGAGAGAGAGAGAGAGAGAGAGAGAGAGAGAGAGAGAGAGAGAGAGAGAGAGAGAGAGAGAGAGAGAGAGAGAGGCTGCTTTGGGGTAGAGACTAAAGATGTCAGATGTATCCGGCCGTGACCTCAACAGTCTCTCTTTCCTCTTTAACGTCTTCTGAAGTACAGCTGAGCATGTGTTTTCCTACCAAGCACTGCGTATTTAGCTCCTTCCCTTCAATGCCGAACAGGGCGATCATTGTGCGCACATATGTTACGTGTGTAGTAAATATTACTCCTGAAAGGACACCAAATGAGAGAAAACAAAGCATAGTTCAGCAAATTAGTGTGTGATTAATTAATTAACTAATAGTATAAATCATCTAACTCGTCAGCCAGTATTACATATTATAAACGCTGTATATCAGAAAAAATGTATATATAACATAGCAAAGCAGGAGTCATAGTAGATTTCCATACTTCAAAACTGCATATGGATCGATTAAATAAATATTCTATGGAAACAACATAAAAGGCACAAACTAAAGCAAATATAGTAATGAGTTAAAATTACTAGGTTGCTAAAACATTGCCATAATGAACAGATCCATAACACGTCGTATCATAAATGTATGTTGTAGATTTGCAAGTAAAAAAGTATTCATTCAGAGAACTGGTTATTGATCAAAAACACATTAGCTGGCAGTGTGTCTGTCAATCGCTACCATAGGCTTGCCTGTCTGTGTACAACACATTCTGTCATTGGAAATTGAGTAGTATGAATGCCGGGAATTTGGTCCAATGAACCATTTGTGGGTACTGATATATTTCTCTGCATTCTGTTTTCCCACATGGATGGACTGAGTAGTTACTAAACATACACGAGTTACATATGGATAAAGTGAGTCATGGGACAGAAGCAGAGACAGATGGCAGTGACTGGGCGGTGGGTGGGGTGGAGATGGGAGTAGTTCGGCAACGCCCACTTTTATACTACTTACGTTATGAATTGCTTATTATATGCATTAGTTTTAACATTATATTAAGTGGTTTTCCTAATATATCTTGTACTTTGGGTATTACATGTGGTGATTTTTTTTACATATGCAGTAGTGTTATTATTTGAGGTGGTTTCCTCAATATATATATATATATATATATATATATATATATATATATATATATATATATATATATATATGCTTTCTCTATTATATCCAGTGCATGCATCTTTATATTTGGTGCTCAAGTCCTTTTTCTTTATATTCAGTGGTTATGTCTTTATGTGTGGTACTTAGATCTTTATGTTTGTTGGTTCAATCAGGTTATATGGTGCTTATCTCATTTAACGATTATGATGATAACCGGAAAACATCATGACTGAATGTTACCACTATACGATTATTTCTGATGGCTTCACAGTACTTCCACTCTGATGTTTCAGAATCTTCCATAATTTCCAATTTTACTTTTGCAAGCTTTTGATAAAAGGAAAAAGCATGGTATCCTTGAAAGTCTGAACATTAAAAATACAGTGAGAGAATAACACCAGATAATGTTATTAAACTTTCAAAGCATGATGTGATCTCAAAGGGCATTACAAACAGTTTGTCTGTCTGATTTGGATTTTTAATGTAGCTTTTACAATTTTTCAGTCATATTACTATGATGTCTGCATTGAGGCAGTTATTTGTGATGTCTAGCACTGGGGCATTGTGCCACTGACATGTAGAATGATGTCCCACCCAGTCACATTATGTAGACACCATGCAGACAAGTCCTATCACAAACCTCGTAAGGCTGTGTGCCAAATGAGGCAGCTGTTAGTACCATTGTTCCAAGTCTTTGGTATGACTTGGCTGGGGTTTGAACCCATGACTGCCTGCATCAGAGATTGATGCTCTAATTACTTAGACCACTGGAGTGGTTCTACAAACAGTTTATCTTGATTACTGTGAATTAATGTTCAAATGATGATGGAAGTTGGAATGTTTATACAACTTTGTGTGCATTATAATCACAGTAGAATGTGCAGTAGGATAGAACTATTCAGCATTGGTTAAACATGATCATACACATACAGGAATGTTTGAAACAGGCTTTCCTGACTTCTTGTTGTACTAGCACCTGGAATTTTCTTAAGTTTTGACTTTACAAATTCAATTTCTTGTGTTGTATATATAAAACTTCTAGACAGATGGATGGATACAGGCTTAACTATTTGAATGGAGATCAACAATGAAGATAAGGAAATAACTTCACCTGTTATTATTAATTTGACAGAAATATATGGAGCAAATCAAAGTAAGATTTTTTTATATCTTCTTTAACCACTTCATTAAAGGTCATGCAGAAATTTTACAAAAAATTTTTCCAAATTTTTAAAGAACTCTATAGTTAAAATACTATTGTGAGTGCAAGCACAAACGACCTATATTATTAAAAAAGCATAAAGCAACATTATCTATTACTCATGTATGTTCAACTGCAGTTCTAAAATATCAATCCCTCACAGAAATCACTGATAAGAAGAAATGAACAACATTGATAAAAACATTTTAAAGTTAATATCAGAAATAATATTTTTTAAAAATACAAAAAGAAGGTATGCTCAGAATATGACAGAAAAAGACTGCCTATTATTACATAAAGGGGTGAAAGGATTGTTTATTTCAGCTTTATTTAATCACCTATGTAGTTTAATAACCAATAAGCTTCTTGCCAACCTTTTTAAGTATACTATATGTGTACTACAGCAGGAACATAAAAATTCAGCATTTTATCTCATTATCACTGCAGAATATTTGGATCTGATAATCAAAGAACCCCTATCCCATCGAAAAGACTATTCCTCACATTTAAAATCCATGGTATTCAAATTCCAACACATGGCTTTTAGGGAAAACGATATCTTTCAAGAAACAAAATTATGGAAAATCAATATCACTGCAGTTTGAGTATCAGAGGTCAAGCTGAAATAAACAAATAAAATAAACATCAAATTTCAAAGAACTTTTATTGTTAAAATATTCTTGTTGGTAATAGCATAATCCATTTCTATCCTTAGAAAATTACAAAGCAACAATATCTTTAACCAAGTTATGTAAAGCTGTTGTAATACTGAGTTTTTATATGTTAAAAGAAACCACCTGAAAAGAAATATCACAATTTACCTAGCAATTGACTGAAATAACATAAATTCAATACAAACACATTTTGTAGGCATCATATGGTGGAACAGCAAGTGCTAAACCTATTATTGAACACAGGGGTATAAGGATTGTTGATGTCAGCTTGATCAGATCTAATGCAATTTACTCTATTTGTTTGCATAAGCTTCTATACCATTCTTGGTTTCTTAACTATAATATGCATGTATACCAGCAGGAATTTAAACATTAAGCATTTAGTGTACATATTACTGCAAAATATTTGGTTCAGATTATTGCAGCATCCATTTTCCATGAAATAGAGTCTTCCTGACATGTTCAAACTCAGATATAATTTTGTGTAAATGCAATAATACTTTCATAAAACAAATCTAAACCCCATATAACACATTAAGGAAAAGGGAAGATGATATATTATTATAAAATATATACAATTTTATCCCTGAATGTCAATTCAGATACAATATCAATAAATTATTTTAAAAATCATTTTAAACAGAGAAATAAAAACAAAAGTACTGCCCATAATAGAAAAATAATTTAAATTTAACTTTTTTTGCTTTTGTCTTTAAACCAAAATTAAAATGATTTCCCTTTGCTTCTGTATTTAAGCCAAGTTGTTACATTTCTGCCCTTATATAGCAATGAAAAATCGGCATACAATTGATTTTTCTATACATTTTCTCACTGGGAAGTTTAGTGAGAATTTTCTTCTCTGTATAAATATAAAAACTAACTAAATTGTAAGAAAGAACTATGTTTTTAATAGGGTACCTGGGTGGTTGAGTAGTCTAAAGCACTGATTACTGTCATCTCACCTCTGTCTGCAAGAGACCATGTCATGGGCTTAGCCAATTTGGGTATGCTAGAAAGCTTACCAGTAGCTCTCATGTATTGGTAGTTCTTATTGGGTTTTCTGGGTTCTTCCTCCATCAGTTATACCGGCTGCCATATATAGCCTACCATGTCCTGACAAATGACGTTAAACCCAACCACACCTTTCAGTGCTCAAACACCATATTTTATTGTTCCTGTTGGCCTACTACACTGTTAATAAACGTTTGGAAGAATAGCATATTTAAAAAAAAATATTTTTCATGAAAATTATCTAAATTACTGAAATAAATAAACTGTTACTTGTTTACTTAACATTGTGAACTTAAGCAGAACC